TATATATATATATATATATATATATAAATTGAACAAGACACAAATTCCGATAATTAATATCCACGTCGAGCAGGTGAGATCGCGGATGCTCTTCGAATAAATTTATTTCGAGACGATAAAAGGAAACGAGGACGAAAGTGAGTCGGTTTCCTTCTCGCAATTTCGGCCAGAATAGATTGAATTGAAAGGGGACGTTTTGTAAAATGAGAGGCCGGTTATTAAAAGATGTTCAACCCGTTTAACAACATAAATTATTTATCATTTATATCCGCCGACATCAAAGATAAGCTTTCAGCGTTCCGTAAATAAAACATGCCCCGAAGAATCTTAAGGGATCAAGAAAATCAAGCTTGCAGCCGCTGTTAAAGCTGGCGAGATAGGGAGCCATGTAATTCCCCGTGGAATGAGAGGGGTGAAAGTTGCTTCCTGAAACCATTCGACGGGAGGATCTTTATTTAAATTTTAAAGCTCTTTACTATCTGTACGCTTTTGTATCGGTCTTCGTCCCCGGGATCGAATAAAATCAGATTTCTCTTTTCTCTTCTCCTTTTGTTTTCTGTCTTTTTTCTTCTTTTTTTTTTATTGTTACGCAATGTTCGATATTCGTTCCCGTTCTTTCTGGATAAAAATTGAACGGTCCTCCGTGTAAGGAATGCAGAACCAGGAGGAGAAGCGTTTTCGTTTATTAGGTTGGTAAACAAGTTTACAGCTTCCTTGTAATTAGCCGAATTTTGATATTCCAGATTCGATGCATTTCCTTTATTCTAAAATAACTTCATGATTGTTGCAATTAAAATTGTGTCAATCATTGTTAATAATTTTGCGGCTCGTTGTTTACGTTATTTTCGATTTTTAAATCTTCTATGCGAGCCTGTACCATATTTATTTTTTACTAGGACGAAGTTTGTTTTATGAAAGATTTGCAAATTTTGATGCTCATTTATGGGTTTAGGTTTTAATAGCACAATTCAATTAAAGCCTCGAGCTCTGACCTCTCAAGATCCACAGGCATGTCCTGAATTCAATTCAACGTGTATAACTCCGCACAAATTTATAAAATGAAATCACAGAATGAAAACAAAAAAGTTTTCTTAAACTCTTGACGAATTAAACTAACGACAGCACTTCTAATCGTCAAATAGATGATGTTCGAAAAATTCGAAAAATTTTACGAAATTTTCGAAGAAATTGAGAAATGTATAAAATGACGTCAGATTATTGCTTGCTTCTTAATAGATTAATGCCGTGTACAGCTCGCCCGTGTTCAAAGTTATGCTACTTTCCTCCTTTCCTTCTGACCGAACTGGTTTCTCACGTGAATTATGCTCGGCTCGTCTCGAACTTCATGAAAAATGTGACCACGGGAAAGTTCGGTGTCTCCCGGTGTATTGTTACGAGGTTTAAGTTAAATTGAAGCACTCCCGTTCCACGGGGGCATTATCAGAAGCACGAGGGTTCCTATGGAAAACCATTCGTCGCGGCGGAATTACTTTTTTATTGGAGGAACTCCGCGGGTCTAAGCGTGGTAAAGCCTGCATGACTTATTTCCTGAGATTCAACGTGCCGAGAAGGAAAAGAAAAGGAGAAAAGGATAGTCGAATTAATCATGGCGAACGCACGTCCAAGAATTACACGCCACATCGATGCTCGATCGGGGAACAACGATAACCAAACGAGTTGCAAAGTGGCCTTTTGATTTTGAAACTGAATTTACGCGATACGAAACGATATCTCTAAGCTGAATCAATAATACTCAAAGATATAAAAGCATATTTAACCACTTTATAAGAAATTAAATTCGAACAGTAATTGGACAATCATTACATGTATATAATCATTATATACTTGTATATTATTGTTATTATTACGTATATTTGTAAATTTACTTTGAAAATCTACGTTCATATTTATTGTTAGAAATAATCTTTTCAAGTTTTCTAAAACTGATATACATAATTCTCCATATTTCAAATATTATCATATCAAATACGGTTAATTTGTTTACCGATGTTTGATACGTTCGCGGTACAAACTATCCCAATGAATTATCTAACATGACTTTAATTATTCGATACCGTTAACGATTCTAATATATCCGATTATAATTTTGCGTAATTCGGGTTGCATTATTGATATTAGGAGTGATTGTATATATAGATATACAAATCTAGTACGTGAATTTCGTATTATCGCATTGAATTGTTGATAATCGAGAATTATAGACGTGAAAAATTAAACAGAAATACATGTATTCTAGCTACACGCTTCACTACATGCTAACATACGTGCACATAATTAATTAATAGCGAATGCAATGCAAATAACGCAAAATTATAATTAGAATATATTAGAATATATTTGTTAAATTTTTCACGTCTCTGTTGATAATTATCAATTATTAACAATTCATCCTGATAATATGACATTCACGTTCTAGATTTGTGTGTTTAGATATTACATACATTTCTGTTCAAAAGTATTACGACAATGTTTGTTTCACAGCTGAAGAAAATTAAATAATCCTTTATACAATAAAAGATTGATTAAATTTCAATTTCATAAATAATTTAATTGGTGATAAAAATAATAATTGACATTGATTGCTATGAATAAAAGCATTGCATTAAACGGTCAAAGTAGCACTTACCAACAATGATGTACAAAATAGATTACTCGGTAAAACAACATTTAATATAAAAGTTACTAATTTTTAATATTGTATAAACAAATATCAAATTTTTGCCCGGTAATTTCTATTAACAACTGAATTACAAAGTAATTACAAAGTACATGCAAATAAAACTTTATTATCCAAAATTGAATTAAAAATAATACCCTAAGTATTGCATCGAGTATACGTATCACGCTATTGTGATTTTTTGTGCATTCACGGAATATTTTGGGATGCAAAATTTCGCGGGATACATGCATGACGTGGAGAGAAACACACAAAATATCCATCAGTATAACGTGTTCTGCAACGTTCGATAGCAATCTTTCTATCTTACCTTTCTTTTGATGACACGGCGAAACGTATGAATCTGGACAAAAATGCCTGATTATAATCTTTCCAACCGAACGCCCGTTGTTTCAGTTGGGAAACTAGTTAGGCAATTAACGAAACGAGATGCAGAAAGAAACATTCATAATTACGTCGGGAACAAAGTTGAACGGCAAACATTGCCGATACGAGCCCTCCTCGTATTCCATACCACTTCCGTTACTTTTCAATCAGCATCGATCCATGCCGCAAATGAATACAGGAGTTTCCTCTCCACTCTCCTAACTCGTAAATACGCTTTAAAAAGACCCGATTAACCCAAATGCAACTCTCCGTTTCCCTCCTCGTCTGCCTCCCTTGCCTCGTCCCATCAGCCGCCTCGGATACCCTATCGATTATCGCAATTATCCACGCTTTTTGCGTATTATCAAGTCATTTCAGGAAGCCCCGCTTCGTATTTTTTCGTACGGGCTTTATTTCAAGAAAGGAAACACAGAAAGACACACACGCAAAGAAACAATCTGAGACGAACGATTGTTGTAAATTTCAAAAGATTGTTAGCTCGGCTTATTCGAATTGCAAAATGCTCGTTTATACAAGAGTATAAAGTTAAAAAGCGGAAACACGGTTTGCCGATTTTGTCTTTGAAGATCGATCTCAGCTATGATAAACGTTTTTTTGCTTCTACTGCAGCTTCATAATCGCGTTCTACGAAGCAATAACAATTTTCTCTGTTTTCCTCTTTCTTTTCTCGTCGCATTGAAAAACGAACGCAGAAACAAAGAACGCACGCGTGTATGCGCGCCATCCCCGAAAAACGCGAATCGTTGGCGGCAGCTGCGGGGCATTCGGTGTTCCCGAGCGTTCATTCGATGAACAGGTCGGCTTATGAAATGAATGTTCGATTTCACGTCAGCCCCGGTTAATACGGCCGGTTACGACGCGTAACAGATTCCGCCATTAGAAACAACAATCCATCACCGGTCGTTTTAAAGCAGCGAAAAAATCGCCCGCTTGCCTTTTGTTCCTTTAATTCAAGGAACTTTATCGAATTTCCATAAAATATCACCGGCATCCGTCTTCATTCTTTCCTGTGGGCAAACACCGGCAAACGGGCGTTCAACGCGCGGGCGCGCACGAGAGAGAGAGAGAGAGAGAGAGAGAGACAGGCTTGGAACGTTGACGCGCGTTTTCAACACCAACGCGCCACGTTGTTTCGAGCCCGTTGTCTTTAATCGAGCATCTTGACGCTAATTTGCTCTTAATTGCTCGACGCTCGCGGCGCGTAAATCAAAACTTAACGAGAGGGAAGCAGGGGGACGTTGATGAAAGAGGAAAAAGAAAAGTCACAGCAACTCCCCTGCGTGGGAGTGCAACTCTTCCGGGCAAGAAGCAGTTGGGGTGAGAAAGGGGGGAGGGCATAAAAAAGAGAAAGTATGCTAACGGAGAGAATCGAGTTTCCTCTTCAGAGAAAAAAATTAAATAGTTGGATGGTTAATGTATCGTGTTTTATATTTTACGCAGAAATTCATAGCTAAGAGACATTTAAAACTACGTGTTTTTGAATATATTTTATTTCGAAATATATTTATATATATTTTTTTTTTCTGGCGCAAGTTTCAATTATTCAACGTGCCGACGAAATAGCAAATTATGCGATCAATTTATTTGGTCTTGCCTCCAACAAGCATTGTTTGCAAGCTGAATGATTAATTCGTTCCGGATTTATATTTATATTTAGGTAGGTAAACGATTTTGATTTATTTACTCCGGATATTTGATATTTTGGTTTTAGATGTGCGACGAATAAACATCGCTGTTTTCATCGGGCCTGTATGACTCAAAATGACCATCAATAATTCAATAAATGGTTTTTAAATAATTTTAGCTGTTAAATTTTGGCTGTCGTACCTCGGAGACGTAATGTGATTTTTAAACTTTTCGTCACGTTTTCTCACTTAAGAAAATAAAAATTTTAAGCTAAATATATAAATATATAGGTATTAATAGTAACTAGTAAGTAGAATTGTATCAATAATAATGATATTTTAATATTTTTTTCCAAACATGTGAGAAATGATATGTAAACAGAAATCAAGTGTATATTGCCAGTGTAAACAATATCACTCCGCACTCCAAAATTATTAATAAAATTCCGAATTTTCGTCTTTCCGTCATAAACGAATACGTGCAACAGCGAGCCAATTATTTTACGCGTCCATTTTAAAACAATGGAAATTATTTTATTTTCCATTATTTTTGCATGGGCAAAGCATCGAGCTTTCAAATGGAACGGCTCGTTTCAGCCTGGAAAATTAAATTACAAGGCAAGGTAAAAATTACAAGGCAAGTTAGAAAATGTGAAACAGAAAAAAAACTCGGGAACGAGACTCGCGTGTAGGAGCGTATGATCGAGTCGGGAAGCGCATAGACGCGTGCTCGACAAACCTCCGGCGAAGATTTATAGACGGCGGACTGGTTATCGATCGCGGAACTCCTGCTTGTATCGCTAGTAATTGGAACATTTATGAGCCAATCAATCACTTTTCTCGTTGCAGTTCCCCCTATGCTGTGGATACCGCACCAATTGGTCGGCGCACCCTTGGACCATGCTGTCACGCTGGAATGCTACACAGAGGCTCATCCGACTTCTTTGAATTACTGGACCAGGGAGGACGGTCTGATGATTCAGGGGAACCAGAAGCACAAGACTACTTCCATGCCTGAGAAACCCTCGTACAAGACGCATATGACGCTCACGATATACGATTTGCAGGTGGGTGCAGGTGGATCTCCATACTACTTCGTTTGGCGTTTACATTCGATAGAGAAGATTACGTTGCAAGGGATTTCTTCGAGATGTCATAAGTCTCATTCATATTAAGCAATTCTCATATATATTAAATTTTCGTGTTGTTTTTTGTAAAAATTTGATGTAGATTTTCAACTTTGGCATTGCAAATTTGCGAGAATTATCGATTAGACTGAAGTTGTTATCATTTCTTTACTTATGGATGTCTTTCAAACGATTTATGAATCAAAAATTGTTAAGTTGGAATAAAACATGTTTTTAATTATTCTGAACAC